AGAAGGCTATGCATGGAGCAAGAGGTCTTTGGTTCAGATCCTTGGAAACGCATGAGTGCGTCGCGTGTAGATGCCTCCTAAACATGGCTCTTTATTCTGCCATCAAGGGGCGCCAAAGAATTTGGATATATTCCTTGCCCGTCTGCTAGGAAGCTAATTGTATTATTCAAGCATATAAAGGGAATTAAGGCTACCAAAGAGAAGCATAAAGTAATGGTAACATAACCGTCAATTAGTAAGAATAAATTCATTTGTTATAGCCCACTGTATAAATGCCTAGGCCACCGAGAATAAATTCATTTATGATAACCCAATGCATAAAGGCCTAGATCGCTAAGAATAAATTCATTCGTGATAATCCAATGCATAAAGACCAAGCTAGACCTTAATAGGGCTGCCATAAGAAACCTCTTGCCGGCCGCGACCAACACATGATGGTGGCGACATTGCCAGCGGGCGTGGACGAGAGAGAAGACACAGACACAGGCAGGTGCTTCAGGAAATGTGTGGAGAGAGGGGGTGTATGGAAACGTGCGAGACTAGCGCTTCACTTCGTGCTAGCGCGCTGCTTTTTGCACTACTAATGAGTAAAATATTATTACGGCTGGCGACGTCACTAACCATTGGAGGAGGCCTACTATGTCTCAAACTTAGCCTCAGACAGATCATGCCAAATCCAACTATATACGATCACTGGAGTATATACAACTTTCAAGATGGCGTATTCTCTAAGCAAAAGATTTGGATGGGCCTTGGTCGGCATTTGCATAATATATGACATCCGTCATCTGAATAAATATGATCACTATATATAACTTCCATCCGAATTGAAAGTTGTATCATTTTGACTTCAATTACTTTCTCTAGTAGCTTGCACATTCTTTCTTATGGTGACATGGATCTGTCCCACATTCCTTGGGGACAGATCTTGGGTTTGCAGGGTCAGACTCGGAACATGAGTTCAACCACGATGGATAGGGGTGGGCATAATTAACTAAAACCGAAGAACCAAACGGAAAGAACCGGAACCGAAACCGAAAGAACCAAAACTGAAAAAAGCGGTTCCCTATTCGGTTCTAGATATCAATGAACCAAAATTACCGAAGAAAGTTCGGTTTCTACTATCAGATAACCGAATTAACCGAAACAACCAAAATACATGAATTATGCTTCACTTACATGCATTTTGTACGATTATGTTTGGTTTATGTGTGATGTCTCATATTTAAACTAATGTATTGGTGTTACTATATTGCTATTGTTCTCTTATCAATTATTATTATCTAAAATAGAGGTAGTGTTGCCCAAATTTTCTTTAGAACCTGCATATTTTTTTGTTGTCTTAACCTCTGCTTAAAAGTTCAGTTAGAACCGGAACCGAACCGAAAGCCCAAATGCTCAGTTTCTAAAATTTCTCAGAACCTATCGGTTCCTATTTTCTAGGAACCGAATTTCTTCAAAAACCGTGGAACCGAACCGAAAACCGAATGCCCACCCCTAACGATGGGTGGTATGACTGAAGATGGCATTGCTTCGCTTGGGAATGCCTATGGAGGAGATGTCAAGGTTGTGGAGGAGACCCGATGCCCTGGCTACCGCTGTGTAGGATTTTCTTTTTTATTCGATTAGCCCATGAGGCTAGTATCAAATTAGTATGTCCATAGTATTTTAGGATGTAACAAGTTATTATACATTGTTTATCGATATATGGATGTGATACTATGCTGAGATGAGTTCTGTACGTGATAGCTATTAATTCTGGGACTACCACAATGGTACAGATAGTCGGGTTCTTGGTAAGAGAACCCGGTTCATTTCAGTGCATGCGTCCATCCGAGAACTGATTTTCTTGGGATTTGGGACGTGACATCCCTATAATTTGGTCGCCAACACATTGTCAACATATATTTTTGACTACTTGGTACCAAAGTTGTAGAGCTCGATGAAATATACTCCCTCTAGGTTGCTAAAAGAAGTCACTTTGGACAAGGCTTGGGTCAAACATTGGGAATATAAATCATGAATAACTTTTAAGTTGTTGAATTTGAAAATGTGAAAACCATATGAATAGATTTGTCTTGAAAAATACTTTCATAAAAATATACATATATTACTTTTCAATAAATATTTTTATAAAAATAAGACGTCAAAGTTATGCTTTGGAGACTGTGTCGATGTCTAAAACGACTTCTTTTAGCAACTTGGAGGGAGTACAACTTTTGTAGTTGATGACTTTTTCCATTGAGGTTGCTTAGAGCATACCAAATAAATATGCAATTCAAAGTTGAGAGGTGAATACAAAAGAATAATATCCCTTATCCGGTGAAGAAGTGATGTGTATGTGTGATGGTAAGAAGGCTATGCATGGAGCAAAAGGTCTTAGGTTCGGATCCTAGGAAACGCATGAGTGCATCGCGTGTAGATGCCTCCTAAAAATGGCGCTTTATTCTGCCATTAAGGGGCACCAAAGCATTTGGATATATTCATAGCACGACTGCAAGGAAGCAGAATGTACTATTCAAGCATATAAAGGGAATTAAGGCTGCCAAAGAAAAACATAAAGGAATGGCAATACAACTGTCAATTAGCTAAGAACAAATTCATTTGTAATAACCCAATGCATAAATGCCTAGTCCGCCGAGAATAAATTCATTTGTGATAACCCAACGCATAAAGACCAAGCCAGACCTTAATAGGGCTACCTTAATGTCGGCCGTGCCATGATAATATTAAGTCCTCCAATAGGGTGGCGATGTCGCCAGCGGATGTGGAGGAGAGAGAAGGCACAGGCAAGTGCTTCGGGAAATGTGCAGAGAGAGGGAGAGGGAGGGAGGGATGGGGGACGCGTATGGAAACGTGCGAGACCAGCGCTTCGCTTCGCGCTAGCATGCTGCTTTCTGCACGGTTCACGAGTAAATTATTATTTTGGCTAGCGACATCGCTAGCCGTTGGAGGAGGCCTATATGCCTCGAACTCAGCCTCAGATAGATAATGCTAATCCAAATATATGCCATCCGAATAAATACGATCACTGTATATAACTTTCATGATGGCGTATTCTCTAAACGAAAGATTCGGGTGGGCCTTGGTCGGCATTTGCATAATCTAAATATATGCCATCCGTCGTCCTGAATAAACATGATGGCTATATATATAACTTCCACCCGAATTGATAGTCGTACCATTTTCTGTTTAGTAAATTTCTCTAATCGGAGTTGGTTGCACATTTTTCGTTATATATGGACAGGGGGCTGACAGTGTTGTCAAGCCGTATAGAACGGTGGCAGCTCAGACCCGGCGATCACATCTACGCTTGGTTTTTAAAAAAACTCATTCCCTACTCTCATCACGGTAAGACCAATCGTATATATTTAGTCCCATGCACCTTAATGGAAGAACCGAAGAAGCGTACATTTATGATTTATTAAAAAGAAAAGAGGGTGGAGGTTAGTTTAGCTTTGTCCTCATGAGTGCACGAATCCCAAGGTATGTAATGTTGGCGTTGTACACAAGCGATTTTGCACTCGGGCGTTGCTGTTGGCAGGATTTGGTTTTGGGAGCGCGACCTAGTTAATAATTAAGTACTAACAAAAAGTGACTGTTCGCTGGTTAGTTTCAGCCAGCCCAAACCAGCCAGCCAACAGTATTTTTCTCTCACAATAAATCAACACCAGCCAGTTCAAACCAGCACCAGCACCAACCAACGAACAGGCCCAGCAGTTCTTATGTGTCTCTCAATCTCTCTCTCTCTTAACTTGAGTGTACATACAGGAATCTACGAAAGTGACGACAAGGTGATCCACTTCACCATCGATTCAGCGCAGTCCGCTGCCTCTGACTTCACCAGCTTTTTAGCGTCCTCCTCGTCGTCGTCCTCCTCTTTTCCGTTCTGTCCGGAGTGCCGTGAAGCTATGCGTGAAGGCGGTGTTGTCACCTGCTGCCTTGACTGCTTCCTAGAAGGAAATAATCTTTGCCTCTTCGCCTGCGCCTGCGTGGTTCTGTAGCATGAGCAATATTTGTTGGTGTTCAAGACACCTGCTCCATGGAACCTGAAGAGCACCCCGAGAAGGTCTTGTACGTCGCCAATGACCTGCGTCCTGTTCGCTTGGCTTATAAGCCGTACTTTTTCAACCAACGAATAGTATTTTTCTCTCACAACAAATCAGTCAACGGTACTTTCAGCCATGGCTTTATCAGGCGAGCGAACGGGGCACTGCTTACCCACAGGCTTCGGCACTTATAACCTTGCGCTCAATAACTGCTTTGACTTTGCCTTTTATTGCAAGACAGGACGCCGTTATCGTTTAAAACTAGAGTTGCTTATTGACCCCTCCATGTCTCCGCGAGACGCGCGCCGCCCCCCAGCATGTACAATCATGTAGATATAGCCATACGGCTCTTGTCTACCATATCATATAGTACCAGTACATAGACAATAAGACAAACACCTTAATTATACTTGAGCTGTTGTCTAGTTTTTGGTTGTGTGCAAACTGTCTAATGTATTCATGATCAATTAAGTATATATAAGTAAGAAAGTTGTATGCTATTTTGTTACAGACTCAAAGAAATACGGCAACACATACGTCAACTCATGGATCGGATCAACTCATAATAATTTGATAAACACTCGGTTTCACACATGACCTGCTGTAACTGAAAATGATCAACTTAATTTTACATAAATATATAGATCATGGTCTGTATCCTATCATTGTCACGGTCTGAACAAGCAAACACAAATGGCACAAATCCTACTGTTTTTTTTTCTTCTTCTTCTAATTCAGTGACTGAATCCAATTCAAAACCTCCAGGAGGATGAGACTAGCTCTAGACAAGCAGTACCCAATATCAATGACTGAGGGTGCACAACTTCGATCGAGGAGATCAAGTAGTGCCTACTCCTACGTAGGTACCTCACTGCTCTGCTTGCTTGTCACTTGCGATCTTGGGCAAATATCTGGGCGGCGTTACTAGTCGCCGGCCGGTAGTTTCTGCTCCTAATCTGCTCTATGCTGAGTTGTGCGAATTCCGAGCAGAGCAGCGATCACTTCTGCAGCAGCCAACCACATACTCTCGAAACTTGTGCTCCAGCCGGCGAGACCACCGTTCATCCTCGCCTCAGATGGCCTGGTTGGCCTCGGAGGGGAGGGGAATGAGTGGATCTTTGCCCGGCTGTGTAGATTAGGTCCCTCTAGGTGTAGGGTTTGGTGTCCCGGCGACGCTTGCAAGGTGGAGGCGGTGTGGCCACAGTGGAATAAGGTCCTCCAGGCTCTCTTCCAGCTCGCCGTCACTTGCTCCGGCGTCGGCGGCGGGCTTGTGGGGTGGGAGCTCTTCGGATCTGGAGACCGGGTTGGAGCTTCAGATCTTGATGGCTCCTGTACAGGAGTTCGATCCAAGTCGGTCGGCGGCGGTTCGGAGGAGCGAAGGAGTCGCCGGCGTTGTCTTTTGAGGATGCTGTGGGTGATGCGGAAGTCAGGAGGATGGATCGGGCTCGGTTTCCCTGCAGCGGCGGCGGTCGTCATCGGCGAGCTTGGATCCAGGGTCGACGGAGCTCGGGGCGTTCAACGATGGTTCCATCTCGTCCGTGCGGATGAGTGTCTACTGCGGTTCTCTTCAAAGCCTTCGTGCGATGGAGCTCCCTCTGGCCTTGGGTTCGGCGGTGGCGGCTGGTGTCGGCGCTTCCCGGCGACGATTTCCGGAGTCTTCCGCCAAAAGAGGATTCAGGGACCAGATTGTAATTTTTGTTTCTCTAAAAATCCCTTGTGTTAGTAGGGTTGGACAGCTCTCCACTGTATCCTTCTACGGTGTACCTGTATTTGTACTGGTCCTTGTGCGTTTTCCTTAGCTCGTAATACAGGTATGTTTGATCAATATATATATATATGCTGAGTTGTGCGATTTTTCTTTTGCTCCAATTGTTGCATTTGCTTAATCGAGTGATGCGCGCCATTGATAGAAAGTCTTACCTTTATGCGCTCTCTCACTCGCTCATTTCTTTCTACATTCATGCTGAGAATAAGGGGGCATTCTGAGAGCCTGAGAAGCTCATGAGGTACCAAGTACTACCTGATTGCTATGATCATTTGGTACATGCATGCTTGGTTACTGATGCTCGTGTGTGTGTGGTCTCGAGGAGGCGCCTGATGCCAAAATCCTCCATGGCCACTGCAGCCGGAAATCACCCGCCTCCACTCCACTCACCACCAACGTTAACACACGCTCCTCCCGCCTCGTTGCCCACCTCCTCCAACGTCTGATCGGCATCCCCTCTGCTAAAAGATCCGCAGTCCAATGGGGAGACCATAAATCTCCCCTTAGGAGGTAAGAGGTTGGATAAATCACAGACGTTGAATGTCAGAACATATATTAGACAATTAAAGAACCAAATAATCAACGAAAAAATGTTGGCTATACCTGTGCGCTGCTTCCTTGCCATATCTGATATAGGAGCATGCACGACAGTTACGGCACGTATATATGCAACATATGCATAGCGTGGATCCGTCCTTTACGGCAATGAACCCGTCTTTCCTAGGATAGTTTCTTTCTTTATATGATTATTATTATCTCTTATTTGTTAGTTTGCATGTGACTTAGACATGTATATACGAACGGATCCTCATTGTATTATGTGAGTAATGTATATCCAAAGTTTAAACATAATCACGATCATATACAAGATTCATATGTATACAAGATTTTTGTATAAAAATAGCTGTAATGACATATACACCTGTCACGTTACAAGACTTCTATATAAAAATAACTATAATGATAGGGTTCCATACTTTTTTTTTTTGATAAATTTGTCACATACAAAATGTTATAGTTACGTACGTGCATGCTTTTTTCTAGTTGTCAACGCACGTTCGGCTTTGTTCACATTAAGAAATTTTAAAAAAAGAAGTCACCTTTTGTTCTTTCTCTGTTAGGTAAGTAGGTAAGTGTGAGTGGTGTGGTCTTTTCGGTCTAGCTTCTTGCTGGCCTTGTTTTTTGTTTTTTGTTGTGTTGTATTACGTTGTTACTTGCTGGGGGGCTGTTGCCCCACAGTTTTATTAAAAAAATGGTTTACCATATCTAATAGATCACGCATACATCAATTAGATCTAGAAAAAAGATTTTTATATCTAAAACTTTCCTTATTTATTCTATTTTATAAAATTAAAAATTAAATAAATATACATCTCACCTATTACCTCTAGAAAGTAATAGATAATGTCAACCATCCGATCTAATTAAATGAACAGCTCACAGTCATTTGGATGTACCGTAGCAAGACCCGGAGTGGGGCTAGAGTGCTCTGAAGAGCTGTAGTGGACATCTTTTGGGCTTGCCCCGGGCTGCAGCCCCCCCAGCCCGGGGCCCAGATCCGTCCATGGTTACTTACTCTGTTGCTGAACTTGGTTTCATCCATCATATCTCGTGCCTACTGTTATTCTCATCAGTTGATATTGTTGAGATATGATTTTTTCACTACTGTCTCCGTGCTCGTTGTTAGAGACGACGTTGTTAACCCTTTTGGATTTTTTTTGTTTTGTTTGTTTGAAATAAAACATGGCGATGAATGTGTGTAATGTGTTCTGATCTACATGCTACTCTCTCATCGTCTTGCACATGGTGACACCTTGCAGCGAGCCGATGCATGTGAGCACGGAGGAGATGATCATCGCTAGTGCTTTCTTTTGTAAAGAGAATGAAGATGCGGAGGATTGTATTATTATTTCTTGTTTGTAAATCTAAAGCCGATTCGTTTAACTATACAGCATATATAGGCAACAAGCTCTTTTGAAGACCACTTGAAGCACCCATTCTCCATTCAGTTGTGTTGATTGATTGATGTCTGCAAAGGGAGAGAGAGAGAGAGAGAGATAGTTTAAGCATCACCTTTCTAGTCAAGAAGTGATGCATGCGTATGTGTGGTCTGGGGCGGAGGAAGGGCCGGTGCTCTAGTAGAATCTCTAAGAGAAATATAAGCCTAAAATTTAATCCTATATAAGAGAAAAATGAGTCTAAAACTTACAATTCAATCCATTTTTTAATCATTCCAACATCTTTTGTGTAGTTCAACGCTCATTATCTAGCTTGTCTGGCTCCGCCACTGTGTGTGGTTGTAACATGGCAATGCATGGAGCAAGAAGCCTTAGGTTCGGCCGGATCTAGAAAATGCATGAGTGCGTTGTGTGTAGATGCCTCCTAAAAATGGTTCTTTATTCCAACATCAGGGGTTAACAAAGCATTTGCATATATTCTTGGCTCGACTGCAACCGCAAGCAAGCTAAGGGTCTGTTTGGTTCATCTATGAATTGTGCAAAAACTATTGTGAGTTATGTGCTATGGGAAAGTTGTAACCTGTTTGGTTGAAACAACCAACAAACCTACCCCCTCTCTATCTTCCTTGAAACAGCTATGAAACATCTCTCTATTTTCACCCATCTGGAAAGACAAAGAGCGGAAAGCAGAGTCCAATGTATTGCGAAAATTATAACATGCGAAAGTAGCTGCTTCTGAAGAAGCAGCTTCAGGTTCTACCCGTTTGGTTGGTATTCTGCTTTTTGGTAGCAGAAGCACTTTTCAAAAGCTGAATCAAACACAACACAAATGTACTACTAAGCTTATAAAGGGAATTACGGCTGCCAAAAAAGGCATAAAAAATGACAACATATACCACCAATTGATTAAGAATAAATTCACTTATGATAACCCAATACATAAAGGCTCAGGCCGTTAAGAATAAATTCATTTATAACAACCTAATGCATAAAAAACCAAGGTAAAGGTTTTCATAGGACTACCATAAGAAACCTCTTGCCAGCCATGTCCGGCACATGATAAGGTTATTGGGCCTCTCCAATAGGGTGGCGATGTCGCCAGCAGACGCGAGGAGAGAGCGCAACACAGGCACAAGCAGTACTTCGGGATACGTGTGGAGAGAGGGTGTCCGAAAACGTGTGAGACTAGTGCTTCGCTTCACATTACGCGCTGTTTATTTGCATTGTTCATTCATCAAGTAAAATATTATTTTGGCTGGCGATGTCGCTACTTGTTGAAGGGAGTCTAGAACTCAGTGAAATGTACTCTATCCATTAAAATAGTATAAACCTCATTGTTTAGAGGTTTTATAGAAAATGGTATCAACATTTTTATATCTAAATAGATTTATTATAAAAATATATATTTTATGATTAGTCTAATGATGTTTTATTACATATCATAGACATTAGTATTTTTATATAAGTGATCAAATTTAAGATTAATTAACTCATCGAAAAGTGAGATTTACATTGTTTCTCGACGGAAAGAGTACTTGGACAGATCATGCAGAATTCAACTTTTATAATGGCGTATTCTCTAAGTGAAAGATTCCGATGCGCCCCTGGTGGGCATTTGCAGAGTGGAATATATATGACATCAGTACGTCATCCGAATACATATGATCATCGTATATGTAACCCCATCCAAATTGAAAGTTATATCATTTTTCCATTCAGTAAATTTCTCTACTAGGAGGAGCTTGCACATTTTTTGTTATATATGGACAGGGGGTTGGCAGTGTTGTCAAGCCGTATAGAACGGTGGCAGCTTAGACTCGGCGATCACGTCTACATCTGGCGCAAACACGCTGCCTATACCTACACCTATCATAGTAAGACCAATCGTTTTTATTAGTCCTACTATGCACCTTAATAATAGGTTCATTAGTCCTAAGCGTACATATATTTATATTAGAGTTAAAATGCATGCGAGGTTTCGATTAGGTCCATCAACTCTAAAAGTTGATTTCGGGGTCCATAAACTTTTTAAGTGGTTCACCGCAGGTCCGTACCCCTTCGTTTGGTCCTTAGATTCAACTTTCGAGTCAATAAACTTTATAAGTGGTTCACCGCAGGTCCATACCCCTTCGTTTGACCCTTAGATCTAACGTGATATGTGGAGTCAACAATCAGCATGGCATGAAATTTCCCAAACCCATGCTTATCCCCCATCAGCGCTGCCCTCCTTTCCAATCCCTCAAGCCTGACATATGTGCCTCTTTGCTTTATCTCTACTCCAGTGCTCGACAACACCATTACCAGTCACTGAGCTCCCACTACCGTCGATGTTCCTCGCTTTGTGCTTCAGCTCTGTCCTAGAAATGAGCACTACTAAGTCCGTCTCTGCCTCCTCTACCCTTTGTGCTCGTCACACAGAAACCATGTCGGAGCTCCTAGCCCATCCTACTGCAGCTACCATGGTCGAGCTTTGAGCTCGCGTGCACCGCCATTCTTGTCGGTGTAGGCCATCACTGTTTCAACGAATGCGCGGTTGAGTCCATCGCGGTCCCCTCGTCCCCACGCACATGCATAAAGGGAATTAAGGCTGCCAAAGAAAAGCATAAAGGAATGGCAACACAACCGTCAATTAGTAAGAATAAATTCATTTGTGATAACCCAATGCATAAATGCCTAGGCCGTTGAGAATAAATTCGTTTATGATAACCCAATGCATAAAGGCCTAGATCGCTAAGAATAAATTCACTGTGATAATCCAATGCATAAAGATCAAGCTAGACCTTAATAGGGCTACCATAAGAAACCTCTTGCCGGCCGTGGCCAGCACATGATAACATTAAGGCCTCCTCCAGTAGGGTGGCGACATCGTCAGCGGGCGTGGAAAAGAGAGAAGGCATAGACACAGCCAGGTGGTTCAGGAAATGTGTGGAGAGAGGGGGTGTGTGGAAACGTGCAAGACTAGCGCTTCACTTCACGCTAGCGCGCTGCTTTTTGTACTACTCACGAGTAAAATATTAATACGGCTGGCGACGTCGTTAACCGTCGGAGGAGGCCTATGTCTCAAACTCAGCCTCAGACAGATCATGCCAAATCCAAATATATGCGATCACTCTAGTATATACAACTTTCATGATGGCGTATTCTCTAAGCGAAAGATTCGGATGGGCCTTGGTCGGCATTTGCATAATCCAAATATATGCCATCCGTCATCTGAATAAATATGATCACCATATATATAACTTCCATCCGAATTGAAAGTTGTGTCATTTTGACTTCAGTTACTTTCTCTAGTAGCTTGCACATTTTTTCTTATGGTGACATGGATTTGTCCCATATCCTTGGGGACAAATCTTAGGTTTGCAGGGTCAGACTCGGAACATGAGTTCAACCACGATGGGTAGGGGTGGGCATAATTAACTGAAACCGAAGAACCGAACGAAAAGAACCAGAACCAGAACCAAAACCGAAAGAACCAGAATCGAAAAAATTCGGTTCCAGATATCAGGGAAGAAAGTTCGGTTCCTACTTTCAGATAACCGAATTAACCGAAACAACCGAAATACATGAATTATGCTTTACTAACATGCATTTTGTACGATTATGTTTGGTTTATGTGTGATGTCTCATATTTAAACTAATGTATTTGTGTTACTATATTGCTATTGTTCTCTTATCAATTATTATTATCTAAAATAGAGGTTGTGTTGCCCAAATTTTCTTTAGAACTTGTATATTTTTTTGTTCTCTTAACCTCTGCTTAAAAGTTCGGTTAGAACTGGAACCAAACCGAAATAACCGAAAGTTGAAATGCTCGGTTCCTAGAATTTCTTAGAACCGATCGGTTCCTATTTTCTAGGAACTGAATTTCTTCAAAAACCGAGGAACCGAACCGAAAACTGAATGCCCACCCCTGATGTTGGGTGGTATGACTGAAGGTGGCATTGCTTCGCTTGGGAACGCATATGGAGGAGATGTCAAGGTGGAAGAGACCCGATGCCCTAGCTACCGCTACGTAGGATTTTCTTTTCTATTTGATTAGTCCATGAGGCTTGTATCAAATTCATATTTTCATATTATTTTAGTATGTAACAAGTTATTGTACATTGTTTATCCATATATGGATGGGATACTATGCTGAAAGGAGTTCTCTAGGTGATAGCTGTTAATTCTGGGACTATCACAATGGAACAGAGAGTCGGGTTCTTGGTAAGAGAACCCGGTTTGTTTCGGTGCATGCATCCATCCACGAAGGACAAAGGAGAGAACTGATTTTCTCGGGACTTGGGACGTGAAGTCCCTATAATTTGGTCGCCAACACATATTTTTGACTACTTGGTACCGAAGTTGTAGAGCTCGATGAAATGTATAACTTTTGTAGTTGATGACTCTTTCCATTGAGGTTGCTTAGAGTATACCAAATAAATACGCAATTCAAAGTTCAGAGGTGAATACAAAAGAATAATATCCCTTATTTAGTGAAGAAGTGATGTGTATGTGTGATGGTAAGAAGGCTATGCATGGAGCAAGAGGCCTTAGATTCAGATCCTAGGAAAAGCATGAGTGCGTCGCGTGTAGATGCCTGATAAAAATGGCTCTTTATTCTGCCATCAAGAGACCCCAAAGCATTTGGATATATTCCTAGCCCGACTGTAAGGAAGCTAAATGCACTATTCAAGCATATAAAGGGAATTGAGGCTGCCAAAGAAAAGCATAAAGGATGGCAGTACAACTGTCAATTAGCTAAGAATAACTTCATTTGTGATAACCCAATGCATAAATGCCTCGGCTGCTGAGAATAAATTCATTTACTATAGCCCAATGCATAAATGTCTAGACCGCTAAGAATAAATTCATTTGTGATAGCCCAATGCATAAATGTCTAGGCTGCTGAGAATAAATTCATTTGTGATAAACCAACGCATAAAGGCCAAGCTAGACCTTAGGGCATGTATAACCTACAGACACGGTGCTGTCTGTGAGTTTCTAGGAATTCACACACAGACAGCTAAACAGACAGCTTATACAGTGGTCGTCTATTTGACTGTTTGTAAGCCATTTAATGTATGCAGATAACCATGATAAAAAAAGTCACAAAAAAAATAACCATGATCAAATAGAAAGAAGATCTTCATATATAATTTTGTTGCTTCGTCATTCTTGATACAAACATGCATAAATAAAATAAAAATACAGTGATCACTAAACAAATATTGAAAATAAAAATAGATGAAAATGTAGGCTTATATCTTATCTCTTCCACTCTGGTCATGTGCGGCCATCCATTCAACTTTATCACTGCGTCTGTACTCTCTCTCCCCCTCCAGAGTAAAGACTTGTCTCTCGCTTGTATTGTATCGGAACAGCCCTCTCGCCTGGAGTTCTGGAGAGATTGGAAAGGCCGGCGCGACGGCCAGCAAGGGGAGACGACCAGTGCGTGTCCCTCGGACGACTACCGGCATGTTCGGTTAGCTGGTTTGTGTCGTTGCTGGTTCGTGAAGAAGTACTGCTGGATGATTTATGTGAGAGAAAAGTACTGTTCCGGCTGGAAATTTACGATCGTTTACGACAAGCCACAGCCAAACGAACAGGCTACCTGCAGCGGCGACGGAGAGCTCATGTCGAACGTCCTCCGCTCCTCGCCTGACTGTCTTCGACCACCGGATTCATCAGCTCTGGTGCCTACGCGCATTCTTCGCCTGATGCCACTCAACCGCACCGGATCTGTCTGAGCGGGTGTTTGGTTACATCAAACTTTAGGCGTTGTCCCATCGAATATTTAGACACATACATGGAGTATTAAATATAGATTATTTATGAAACTAAATGCACATATTAAGACTAATTTGTAAGACGAATTTATTAAGCCTAATTAGCCCATGATTTGACAATGTTGTGCTACAGTAAACATGTGCTAATGACGGATTAATAAGGCTTAATAAATTCGTCTCGTGGAGTACTGAGGACTTCTGTAATTTATTTTTTTATTAATATTCGAACACTCCATACGACACCCCATATGACATCTGATATGACACCAACTAAACTTTAGTCCCTACATCCGAACATCGCCTGAGTCGTTGCCTGCACGTACAGCGGGTGTCGTGACATCAACTTGGCATGGGAGCCCGAGCCCGAGCCATCGTCTCACGAGACCAACTTGGCATGGGAGCCCGAGCCCGAGCCATCGTCTCACGAGACCAACTTGGCATGGGAGCCCGAGCCCGAGCCATCGTCTCACGAGACGACGAGCCTGCTGTTTCGTACATACGGCAAGTGTGTTTCTGTAAAAATGACCGTATGCAGATGGCTCCGCAACGCTGGTTGTACGTGCCCTTAATAGGGCTGCCATAACAAACCTCCTATCGGCCACGGCATGATAATATTAAGTCCTCCTTCACTAGGGTAGCAACGTCTCTGACGGACGTGGAGGAGAGAGAAGGCACATACATAGGCAAGTGCTTTGGGAAATGTGTGGGGAGAGGGAGAGGGAGGTTGGACATGTATGGAAACGTGCGAGACCGGCGCTTCGCTTCGTGCTAGCACGCTGCCTTTTGCACCGTTCACGAGTAAACTATTCTTTTGGCTGGCAACGTCGCTAGCCATTGGAGGAGGCCTATATGCCTCGAACTCAGCCTCGGACAGATCATGCTGAATCCATATATAAGCTATCTGAATAAATACGATCACTGTATATAACTTTCATGATGGCGTATTCTCTAAGCGAAAGATTCTGATGGGCCTTGGTCGACATTTGCATAATCCAGATATATGCCATCCGTCGTCCGAATAAACATGATCACTATATATATAGCTTCCATCCTAATCGAAAGTTGTATCATTTTGCCTTCACTTAATTTCTGTAGTAGCTTGGACATTTTTTCTTATGGACTTGGCGGTGGCGGAGGCCTCAATCCGTAGAGAACGGTGGCAGCTCAGACCCGGCGATCATATCTACGCCTGGCGCAGCAGGTTTGCCTACGCCTTTCCCCATCATGGTAAGACCAATCGTTTTTATTAGTTCCAAGCACCTTATTAATGGAAGAAGCCCACATTTATTAAGAGGGCGAGGAGAGGTTAGTTTAGTTTTGTCCTGAGTGCACGGATTTCAAGGAATGTTGGCGTTGTAGCAATTTTGCACTTTGGCGATGTTTCGCTGGTCGGTTTTGGGTCCGCGACCTAGTTAAGTTAATTAATTCTTTTTGTCTACTGTATATCTGAATAGTGGGATACCAATCTTTTTAAGGCTGGATAATTATTACTTCAGTTCCATTCAATTAATCAATTATGCTCTTTTGGCTATATGCATTTTTTCTACTCCCAGGAGTCATCTTCAATAAACCATATTGCGTAAGTGTGCATACTCATTTACCGGTTTGAGTATATTTAGTTGTAATTGTATTTTTTTTGCTTTTTAAAATTTTTTTTTGTCAAAACATAGCCTTAATGGATCTTATTTTGTTCGGTATATTTTTGTCAACAATAACCCATCAAACGGTTCGGGAACGTGACTTACGGTTTATGAGATATTGTATTTTGAAATCTTGAACCATGAAAATGTTCCGTGCATGCATGCATGCATGTGAGAGATGTATCAGATGATTTAGTTACTCCCATGTGTATATCTCAAGATTTAGGGTGTATATGAGCTGATAAAGTGTATATATGCGGAGCATGTGATCATAAGTATGTATGTCAAGTATGTAAGTATACATAGAGTATATAGTTATACTAATTTTATATATTATAATAATTATATTATAATAGTATATTAAAAAATATGGGCTCTTTTGAAAATTTTCACGTAGTAAGATTTAAAGTATCATAAAATGAGTATATAAATATACTCAAACTGATAAATGAGTATGTACCCATGGTTTACTGAAGATGGTATTAGCTAGACCCGATAGTAGGAAAAAATGCAAATCTTTTTTAGGCTGGCTAATTGCAACCACGTACTTCAGTTCTATTCAATTAAGTACTACTAGTAGTATATAAGTAGTGTATTAACTTGAGTGAGTGTACATACAGGAATCTACGAAAGCGACAGGAAGGTGATCCACTTCACTAGGGACACCCCCCCTTCAGAGCAGTCGTCAGCTGCAACAGTGGAAGAAGTAGTAAAAACAAGAGCACTAGCAACAGCACTAGCAACAGCAGCTGCAGTAGCAGCAGGACCAGTAGGAGCAGCAGTAGTAGCAGCAGGAACATTAGCAGCAGCAGCAGGAGGAGGAGGAGCGCCAGTCTATGCCTTATCACCAAGCTATGACTTGTGCTGGGAGTGCCGTCAAGCTATGCGTGGCGGCGGCGGCGGCGTCGTCAGCTACTGCCTGGACTGCTTCCTGAAAGGGGATAATCTTCGCGTCTTCGCCTACTCAGCGCCTTTCTGGTTCTATAACGCGAGCGCACAAATTGGGATGATTACCAACAGGGCTCTAGAGACCTGCTCCATGGAAGCTGAAGACCCACCGGACACGGTCTTGCGCCGCGCCAACGACCTACTCGCCCGCAACGGCTTCGGCAGCTACCACCCTTTGGCCAATAACTGCTACGACTTTGCCTTTTACTGCAAGACAGGGCGCCATCCTCTTGCTTCCCCAGCAAGACAGCGGGACGAGAATACCTGCATGATCCTGTAGTGTTTTGAATTACACCGTCCTACATACATAAATAAATGCTCGTGGCGGACGAGATGACGCTACGCACTAGTAGCGTTTAGCGTCGTGGCAGTGAGCCAGCCAACCGGGGTTCGATGCACACAGCAGTAGCGTCGTCGTGGTAGTGCTCCTGCCAACTTACAAAAAAAAAAACTTGTGTGTGTATATATACAGCGAGAATAATGACCAACTATATATTTGTATCATTGTATGTGTGTATATATATCGAGAGTAATGACCAACCAACTTATCTCTCTCTCTATATATATATATATATATATATATGAAAATTCCTTTCTACCCCTACGTGTAACTACTCCCGCCTCCTCTTCCTGTCTATTCCTCGTCCGTCGACGGTGCCACGCACACGGGTTAAAAGAAGCAGACCCGTTAATAGGATGTATATGAACCCTTGTTTAGTTCGCGAAATTTAGGAATTTGAGTTGTTGTAGCACTTTCGTTTTTATTTAGCAATTAGTGTTTAATCATGGACTAATTAGGCTCAAAACGTTTGTCTCGTAATTTCCAACCAAACTGTGCAATTAGTTTTTTTTTCGTCTACATTTAATGCTCCATGCACGTATTGTATGATTCGACTCTTTGGGAAAAGTTTTCGCGAACTACACAGGGGCTAACAAAATCAACCCGTCCAGCATCTCGAATCCGAGCTCGTCCCGTCTCCTCCTTGCAGTCGCCGCCGCCGCCAGCGCCCCTTCCCTTCCTCGTCTCTAGTCCCCACCGGAGCTACACCGCCACCTTCATCCTCTTCCTCGCCGACGGGGCGCCGCCCAGATCTGGAAGAGCTAGTGGCGTCTGAGGGGTGACTCATACTCCTTTAGCATAAATACTTGGAGTATCACTTGATCCCTTTTTAGTTCTTACAGATTGGAGTACCACATGATACTCTTTTTATGTACCAGATCACTTGGTGATCATTTTTCAGATTGGAGTATCACTTTATACTGCATCGGTACTAATGACTAGAGTATCACTTGATACTTTTTCCACATTTAATCCCTTTTTTCAGATTGGAGTACGTATCACTTCATACTTGATGCGCTATTAGTTGTGTTTGCTTGGTGCTAAAATTAATTATCAAGATATCTCGACGACGTCAAGTCAAGATGGCCTCATGCAAGTATGTTGCCTGTTGATAGATGATGGTTAAGATAGCAGCTGAAGCTATCTCGTAGTGACTGCATATATATGTTCAGTTTAGATAACTTTTTTCGGCTTGTAGATGCATATCAGTTTGCCTGTACATTATAGGTAGTACTGCAATCACCTCTAGAATTGCATATCAGTTTGTCTGTACATATCCTCTTTTCAAAAGTATTTACGTACCATTTTTTTTCTCCTCAAAACTCCGTTAGTTAGTGATGCACACACTATTTAAAGGTGTATGTACTAATACTCGTCAAAAAGTATGTCCAAATACTCGTCAAATAGTATGCCAGAGTATGAGGTATGTGTAGATACTAACAATATAAAGTACGTGTGCTTGTTTTCTGAAGCAGTATTTGTTCATACTATTTTTATTATAAAGTATTGGCCCATACTATTGTTGGACTATTATTTATTTATACCTTTTTTTTAAACAAAGACCATGTGTGCGATACTTTCGTACAAATGTGCTAATGAGCGTCACTATCCAAACTTGAACAGCTTGTTGTTTAGATCAAACAAGTATGAATACATACGAATCGCCGCAAGAAGTATCTATACATACTTTAAAAAACAAGGTCTATACACATATACGTACATGTTAAAAAAAAGTAACTAGGCCATGCAAGCCCCGCGCAACGAATCCCGTCATTTTTAAATTTCCGTAGATACTGCCCACGCTCCACATTCCTATCAAAACCCGTTAGCTCCAGCACCGGCCCGTTAAACAAGGTCCTCGCGGGACGACTCCCTCGCGTGCATATACGCGCAGGCGCAGGTGGGAGTAACTACTCGCGCGCGTGTGTCTCTCTCTTTTCCAAAAAAAAAAGAGAGCCTAAGAAAGAATTCTTGTATCGGGCCACGATTGGAAATATTTAAAATGAAAGTGTTTGTATGTTTGTCTATTTCAAATATTTGTTAGAAAAAAATCACACTTTTGCTTTATCTCAGCAGGGCAGCAGAGGAGCAAACTACTGGGGAAAAAGAGAGCGAGGGGTACGTTCGGTGGCTAAATAACTATTGAAGAAATAGATTCTTGTAGGTGTAATTCATTGTGTAATGTAGTACATCATTGCACACATTATGCCACAATCTGGCAAAAATTTATGGGAGATGTATTGCTGGATTATGGATTCTTGGCAAGGCAGATTGTGTGTATCAGAGATGAAAAAAGACATCCTTTTGTTTTAGCTTTGGATTATAAAAGCATGCCATAGTTCTTGTTGGCCGTGCATCACACTTCCTCTCGGAGTATGGCCTTCAGAATGGGTTGAAGGCATGTTATTATCTAAAATATGAAGAAGTGTAGCATTAGTATACCAGTCCTGTATGAAGCTAACTGATCATTCAAAGAAATGGTTAGCTCTAAAAGGTCGAGGAATCAATTAATCTTGTTATGGTGATATGAACTTTTATGTGGGTACGCACAAATGTATAATACTATAAATGCATACCTTGATGATTGCAAACTATCAATGAGATTTTTGGCCATGCACAAAATTCAATTTGTAATATTGATATTCCGAACATCACGCTCGCATTATCGTTTTTTAACAATATAACACGTTTATGCTCAAATTATCAGGGCATTATTTGTTCCCGTTGCAACGCACGGTAATGTCTATACAATAGAGTTGGTGAGCCTGCGACGCCACGCTCTCCATGAAAGTGTTAATTTCACGAATTTTGCTTTTTGGATTAAATGTCACTTTAACGTTGGTATTTAATTTTACCGTATTGTTCTCTAATCGTGCGATCTGTGTGGTTTTAGTACAAAAGTTTAGTTGTCTCGTAGTAACGCATGGGCACGCTATGAAACATCCTCAATTTTCCTTGAAGGGAAAATCCACAGAATGCATTTTAATATGATAAAACCAAGAACTTATTCCATCATATTATCATATTTCAGTCGATGTCACAGTCATACATCGTAACCTTACAAGAATACAAGATATTACATCACTGGGGAACACACCTATTACAGAGTTAATCTAGCGGAAGACTATCGAGTGAAGGCTCCTCCTTCACGGGTCATCATCAGAGTTGACGTAGTGCAGCATAGATTCCATCTTTGAACCAAACTTGAGCGTAGACACGAGACCTCCTAATCCTTCTAAAGTCAGCATCTCTGAGAAGCAGAAAATCTGCACACCGCCAGATGTGTGCAGGCCATGGTCAGCACCGATGAGTTTTAGTGGAAAAGATAAACAAGGGATCTGGCGATCCTAATACTTGGCTGTGGTTTGCATCCTTAGCGCATGAGAAGTAAATAACATTGGTAATATAGTAATAATGTCCAGTTTTAACACATTCACCACCACACCATCCATATCCATCCACCAACCATCCATCCCAAACCATCTCCACCCCACCACACCATATCTCATCTCACACACTCAGGTCGACAGGCCAACTCCCTCTCGGCCTTGTCTCAACGGCCCGCAGCCCCCAAGGCTCACGACCGGAAAATACCCCAACCCTGGAGGGAGGAAAGAAGGACTCACCTCCTATCTAGTTTAAGCAAAACCCAGGAAAGGTCCATAGCCGACAAGTCGGCATATGTATCGATCGATCAACCATACACTCTGCAGAGGTTTTACATACCCACAAGATTAGCCATCCTCGGAGCCATGTATCTCCTAGGCAGAATTTCAGTCGCTTGCTAGCCTAGAACGATGCCACCCTACCTCTCAGCCCTGGAACATCACAAGTCTAGTATGGGATGGCTGATACTGTGAGTCGTAGACAGAGCCAGGGCCCTCCGGATGTCAAGAGCCGGGTCCACAAGGCCTCCTGAAGTCTCGGAAGGGTGTGGGGGAAAACCGCGCGTCCCGTACCTCCTTGCACACGTTCACCTAGCAGTAGTGGCATCGCTCTACCAAGTAGTCCGACCGTCCCGCACCATATAGGGCGAGTGGGATGTAAAGGATTCTCGGTGAATTTGGGTACTAGTAAGTCCTTAGGGATTGACCAAGCCAGAATATCTTCATCAGGGTTTCCATTTTACGTGCCACCACAGCACCTCCACCCCGGGCTCCACCTCTCCGAGGTTCACACCCAAGGCCACCTCCAATTACCATTTACCCGCCACAGGTATTCCATATCCAAGTGCCCAGGTAGCACCACATGGCAAGACTCGCCCTAGGCTCGTCGTTATTCCGGCTCGGTCGACACAACCCTCACTCTCCACGCACCCAAAACACACACAGCACACTCACGCACCACCAAGTCTGGCACCCATAGCCAAACCATTCCGAGGGGGTTCACCACCAGCATCACATCTCTGATATAATGCAAAGTGGAGTTAATAATAAGTATAGTGGTGTAATACGCAAGCAAGCAGGCAAGTATGCATATATAAGCGAGCGAATGTAGGAAGCAGGGTGACGTGGTAGAGTGGGTTGCATCAGGGTAATAATGGCTCAGGTAGTAGCATGCATCAAAGTACTAGCAAAGGAATAATTATAAAGCGCTAGCAGTTCTAGATATTATGCAATGTCTAATAGGATTCTCTAAAAGAGGGTGCTGCCATGACACTTGCGATGTAGAGGTAGTAGTGGTACAATGCTCCATTCGTTGGTGTTCCATTAGCGGGGTCACCTCCTACTGCGTTGACTCCATTCCACAGTCCTTGTCGTCGTCCACGTTCTCTTGGTCCGATCGTCAGCTACTCCGCGAAGCGACACGCAAGGCAAGAGAGCACTCAACACTCGAAAAGACGACAAGACGCAGGAAAATCCAATAACACCAGTGAGGCAATAAGAGATACACGGCTTAGCCCTCTCGACGGTTTTTCGATTTTCTCGGGCCAAAGAATCACAAGTGGTGGTTTGCTAAGCACAAGCTTAAGTCATGGCCAAGCCAGTATGGCTCTAGGATAGATGGTTTAAGTCAAAGCTTATCCATAGCAACACCACGGCTCATGACCTTCGATCGGAGCGTCATGGAAAGGACGGGAATCGGGGGACGGGCCCAACGAAGGAAGAACGACGGGGTTCGGCTCTTATAGTCTTATCCCGTAAGTCACTATTGGATACAAGAAGCAGACAAGAACGAATAACACTGTTGTGACTTGGCTCCAATGTACTTCGGCTCGTCCGCTATGGTAGAAAGCGGTAGCGCAAAGAGATTGGACAGCAACGGGTTCTCTCGATCCACACGACATAATAACGTCGGGAGTCGAGAGGAGAGTTGCTCAGCAAAACAAAAGAAGCGGGGGTTAGCTAGGCACATCCATGTCATGTTCTCAGACACATCTTCGGGAAAGATGGTCTTAGACGGCCGATCGGGTTGACACGCATGGGTCCGAGGTACGACATATGCTATAGCTTCGCTAACTAAAAAGAGATAGTCCGGTCTTTGATCCAATCGCCATGGACAAGGTGGGATCGAACAGAGCGGGCTAATAGGGCAATAACAGCAAAGAACGGATGTCTGCTCCTTCCAACACACACACCACGACAGAAGACAGGGCATCGGAAGGAGCGACTCACTAAAGAATACAAGTGCGCAAACCACTCATAGGGTACCCGACCTGGGTGCACTGGCACTAAGTCATCTCTCTGATTCATAACGGTGCGGTGGTCACCACGAGAATCAAAGAAACGCGATGGTCGAACGGGGTACAAGCATACAAGGGCTTGTGCACGAAGAAGCAAACAAAAGCGAAAGAGAGGCGTAGCTCCATGGTCATGGCAAGGCGAACTCGCGGCCACAAGCTACACCAACGAGTTGGCACCCATCATTCCACGATTGTTATCTCCAGGTCATCTCCCACAGGACTTGGTCATGGAGGGCTCAAGGCGTGCGGGTGATATCCGCTTCGATGTTAGTATCGACATCGAATCCATCACGACCATGTTCTAGGGACGAAGGCAGGAGCTAACACTCGTGGTACTATGAAGTCAACTAAAAAGCAAGGGGTCGAGTTACACTTGGCATTACAGTCACGGTGAAATGGATCCCGCGATAGTAACGTCCGAACGAGGTACGATCCCTCAGCCGGCTCGAAGGCTCGTCCTAGAGGTAACAACACCAATAATCAGCGATAAGAACCAAACACGACCGAAGACGCAACAACTCGACACGACTGCGGAGTAGCACATTCCATAGCTGGGTGATGGATAGATCCTGTAAGACAATCATGGACAGATAGATCGTAAGAATAGGGCCCAACAAGGTAGATATGCGTATATGGAAAGATGCGAGATGGGGCTTTCCATGGTCTCGATAAGACATACGACTAGGGTTCATGGTCCAGAGGTTACGGCTCGCAGTAGATGGGGTTATGATATCTCCTCAACGGCACGCACTTGCAAGGCAAGGCGACCGGAACGTCGGAAAGACTCCACTTGTCATCGGTACGATGCTAGGGATCACTCGGTTTCTCAACGGCTCGCCCTCGTTTAACGAGGCAGCCGGAATGTTGGGAACGGACTCAATACAACATGGCACAGTGCTACGTCATGTGGTGTATGCTAGGGCTTTGTCCATGAGTTGTGCAATGTGACTACTTCAAAAGGCCTTTAGTGTGGGTCCCGGTAGATCTCGACGGCATGTTCTCGTAACCCGAGGTAGCCGGAACAGTGGTGAAACACGGGCACAGGGTTCCACGGAACCGTTAGGGCAGCCAAAAAGGGAATCCTGCAGTCCATGATGCGGTGATCAATACCACGTGGTCCAATTATGGCTTCGGGGCTCACGATGAGGTCATGGTAACTCTTCGCCGCGGCATGGCTTGGCCACGATAGGTTTTACAGGCGACAAGTCCTTTCCGGCGTCTCCTTCGCCGTGGATCCATTTGGCTAAGTCCGGTCTCATGCTAGTGAGTGCGGGCGTGTCTAGGAGCGGTAGAGCTCCGTCGCAACGTCAGAGATGGCGATCAAGGCTTGACTCAATCGGGCGTGGTTCACGGTGGACGAGACATGGCTTTAGAGAATGCTTCAATGGTGGTCGGCAACCACACCGTCGTTCTTGGAACTCCGGTGGTTCGATTTGGCTTGGATTAGTCACGTGTGTGTGTGCTTGTGTGTCCAAAGGCCGGAGGTGGCCTCGGTCTACGCGTTCCATGGTTGGAACGCCATGGCTGGTAAGCAAAGTCGGGGTTGGAAAGAGGGACACGATGGTGGCTCACCGTGGTTTGTCGAAGTGGAAGGACGTGACCTACGTTGCTCGGTATCGTGATCTTGGCGGAGCTTGTAGTTGGTCACACCTATGGTTATCCAACGGCTTCGGCTCATCCGGGTGATCGGACGACGAAGATGTAGCACCTAATCGAAGCACTTGGGAAAAGAATTCGAGGTACAAGAGATAGACACGCGTAATAGATAGATCGTCATGAGGGGAAATGGAAACAAAGGAGTAGACCGGTGGCGATGGTCGGCACAGGCATTTACTAATCACGGATAGATAGATGATACATAGATGATGGTCATGTGCGAATGAAAGATAGACACATGTTCACAAAAGTGGGAAGGATATAGATTGCCAAAGAGGTGGCGGTTGTTGGACGAAGCTCGGCCATGGTTCGTGAAAAGACGCCGCAAGGGGCCGGCTTCTTCCCTACACATAGAGTTGCACGGCTCGAAGGCCGAGCACAGCACGAGTAACGGTAGGGAGGGGAAAAGATGGGATCCTGGGCTTTGGGTGCTCAGCAGGCGATGCAGCTCCTGCTCTCGGCCATGGTGACGTCGGTGCGGGTCGAAGTGGAGGGCATCGGTGCGTCCTCGGTGGAGCACGACAACATCGGCGTGGAGAGGCTCGTCATGGCCGAGACAGGGTCAGGGCTTGGCGTGGCCGCGGCCGAGGATGAGGCGCGGAGCAGAGGCTCGAGGTGGACGTCGACGAGGTGGTGCAGCTGCGTGGACGTTGCGGGGTCCTCGGGCTCGGCCTACGGTGGTTGTCGCGGACGCGTTCGTGGAGACGCGGCCACAGACGACGTCGAGGACAAACGCGAACGCAGGGGCGAGAGGGTGCTCGCGGACGAGAGGCAGACGCGCGGTGGCAGACAGGCTCGGCGCGGTCATGAGCGTCGAGCGACATGGCGAGGCCGGTGTCATGGCCACACATGTCGACCCGACGCAGGCTTGGGCGAGGAGACAGAGGACGGCGCCTCGGGCTCGGCCTCAGGTCCGGGACAGCGCTCGTCGGGCGACCGGGGAGCATGGCGTCGCGGGCGGCGCCGCGGCTCCGGCTTGGCGTGCTCTCCGGCGAGATGCGGGGCACGGCAAGGTGGAGTAGGGGCTTGCGGTGGCAAGGCAACTGGTGGTGCGGCCGTGGTGAAGGAGGGTGCAGCGAAGGCGGTGGCGGCTGGGAGGAGCTCCAGAGCGAGGCGGCGTCGGGGTCTTTATAGCGGGCTTCTAGGAGGTGCCGTCCATCCTCGACGTCCGTGCCAGGGAGAGGGACACGCGGCGCGAATCACGGGCACCTGAGCCAAGGGGCGCGGTCGGGACGCGGGTGCAGGGGCGCTGGCGTGCAAGCGGCGGCGGCGCCTGGGAGCGTCTGCTCGCTAGGGTTCTCCAGGGCGGCTTGGGCCAGCTGGGCAAGGAGAGAGGGGGGCTCGATTGGGCTCCTGCCGCTGGCTGGGCCGGTGCAGAGAGAAGGGGAAGGGAGTGCTGGGCCGGGCATGCTGCTTGCGTGGGCCAGAGAGGATGGGGTGACGGGTTGGGCCTCCAGCGCAAGTGGGAGAGGTCGGCTGGGAGGTGAGGTGGTCACGGGCCGAGGAGGCGAGCTGGGCCGACTCTGTTGCTTGGGTTGGTTTGGCCATTTCCTTTTTCTCCTTACCATTTCCTTCCTTTTCTATTTCTATTTCCTATTTTCTAAATAAACCAAGGCTCGTGTATTGTATACATGTGTCGCCAACATGTACACCTCCTGGTGGGGTTCGCTAGAGGTCAACTAGGGGTAGTGGGGTCCATGTCAAGGGTTGGCATTTCACGGGCATAGAGTTGATAAAGATAGTTGGTTGATTATAGAAATTAGGTCAAGGGGTTCATGAGAGATTCCAGAAGGAGTCAAAAGGATTTGCTACGGACTTGTGCTCTCCAACACAAAACCCTAAACCAAATAAGGAACTCCGGCAAGTTCCTACAAGTAACACTATATGTATGTAACAATTTATTTATAAATTGTTCTTTGTTTGACCTAGCATCTACATGTTTCATACATTGCAGGAAAATTTTTAAAAACTTTGTATTTTTAGCTTGTCCAAAAACCCGGTTTATTACACGCTAGGTAGTCTTATTTGTAAATCTGAAGGTAGTCTGTCAGAACTGGTGGATATTTACTATCCAGGCAACAAGCTCTTTTGAAGGCGCCACTTGAAGCACCCAATCAGTTGTTCTGATGATTGTTGTTTGTGAATTGATGTGGTATGCCCTGTCTTCGGTCTGCTAAATTCTGCCATTCTCTCTTTTTTCCCAGTTCTTGATTTTTTTTTTCTGAATCTAGTGGCTGCAATTGATAGATTAAAAAAAAATCTTCCCTATAGTTCTGCTCTTGGGCACGTCCATTTCTACAGGTTCTGCAAGGAATCGAGTGATGAGGTGAGGAGCATGCTGAAAAGCTGAGGAAGTACCTAGTACTACATCATTGCCCCTAACTGCTGTGATCATTTGGTTACTGATGTTGTGCGACATGTTCTTGTGCTCTAGAACAAACAGTGGTGGGAAGGTGAGGATCCAGACATCCAAGTCCATTGCGACACCCTTGATCACCCTGAGGAAGGCGATGCTTTGTACGCTGAGTAGCTTTGTGGTACCGGGACTTTTCTACGTGCTTTCTTGATAGCACTGTAGTTGATGGCTGCTTCCGTACACGTACGTTTTGCTGTATGTTTCCGGGCTTCTGACGGGGCATCTGAAAAATAAACTGTGAGGAGGCTGCATGTTTGTGATATATCAGGGAAGTAACAGAAAGTTCGCTATTGTTGCAAAATTGATTTTTTTCTGTTCCCTCCAAATAAGAATATTCTCTTCTCTATTAATAGTACATGCTTGGAAGGGAAAGAAGGAAGAATATTCAATAGAAAAATTGATAGTGTTTAGCATGCCTCATCATAGAGTAGAAGCCGGTTATTTTAGTAAATCTTTTGGGTGTCAGTTATGTGTCTAGTCTTCGCAGATCAGTACTAGGCTATAATCTAGATTGGCCTTCTGTTCATGTGTGATATATATCAGGAGTTTCTATTTAGCACGCACTAATATGGTAGCTCTGTTTCGATCTGCACCTCTTTTCTGATTGCAGCTATGGAGTTGGCTCTGGTTCTTGAAAAGCTGGTTAATAAGAAGCTAAGCTACACAACCTGCAGAGTGTAAGTTACCCTTAACAGCATTACACGATTACAGATAAATATTGTGTGCTTCAGGAGCACCCAAAACTGATTTAATTGAGCAAAAGTAGAAGCAATACATACAGCTTCTAACGAGTTTCCGTTCATAATGAACAGGTGGCAACAAAAGGTGCATTGATCCTCAACTGACCGACTTCATCGAGATTGAGCTTCTTCAGGAGCAGGTAAATCCACCAACTACATTAATCTGTTCATGGTAGCAGAACCTGCATCATTTTTTTATAGAGACTTTGTAAAGAGATGCGGAGGATTGCTTCTTGTGATGTAAATCTGAAGCTACCTCGTCACAACTGGTGCCTATTTACTTTCCAGGCAACTCACAAGCTCTTTTGAAGACCACTTGAAGCATCCGTATCCAGTCGTGTTGATGTTATCTGCAAATTCAAATATGCATGCTGGAATCGTTTGGGCTTAAAAAGACAAGCAGGCCCCCTTTTTTCTTGTTGATGAGAAGAAGTAAAATTCAGTCCCGTTGTATGTATTACCTTAGTATATATGACTCCAAGTTGAAGACTAGTTTTGCGACCGTCGTTATGCAAACACTAGTTGGAGTACAAATTTTGGCTATTGCATTTCACTGCACGTAGCCCAGTCTTACCCAGGCCCAACAAGAATAATTGGGCCCATATGTCATGGTACAGTTGGCCCACTTTGCGAACCAGATTTTCCTTTTTTGGCGCCTGCAAGGAAAGCACAAATTTCCACATACTGCCAAGTGGGTCCATGGTCTATCTGTCACGCCTCTACCCGCCGGGCTGCCTCCTCGGAGCGACACAACGACCGCCAATCTCTCTCGCACTCGTCGTACGTCCTCAAGACGCTAGGCCAGAGCCAGACCGGAGCTGAAGCAGAGCGGAGGTCTCATTGCCCGGGCATCCAATCCAGCTCCAAGGTAAGTTCTCTTCCCCTAAATCTGCCCTGGGTCATCACTCACCTCTTCCCCTGCAATAAAACTAGATAAATTTGACATAAGACAAAACTAAAATAAATTATAATTTAGGACGAAGGGAGTACAAAAGAAGGACAACTTAACCCAAAACGACATCTTAAAAAAAATAAAATTACGCCAAAAGACTTTTCTAGTCGTCTTCTTCCTTGGATTGCTTGTCACTCGCCGAGCTTATACAAATTGAAAGTTGTATCATTTTGGCTTCAATTACTTTCTCAGTAGCTTGCACATTCTTTCTTATGGTGACATGGATTTGTCCCATATTTCTTGGGGACAGATCTTGGATTTGCAGGGTCAGACTCGGAACATGAGTTCAACCACGATGGGTAGGGGTGGGCATAATTAACTAAAACCGAAGAACCAAACGGAAAGAACCGGAACCAAAACCGAAAGAACCGGAACCGAAAAAATCAGTTCCCTATTTGGTTCCAGATAATAACCAAAGAAAGTTCGGTTTGTACTCTCAGATAACCGAATTAACCGAAACAACCAAAATACATGAATTGTGCTTCACTTACATGCATTTTGTACAATTATGTTTGGTTTATGTGTGATATCTCATATTTAAACTAATATATTGGTGTTACTATATTGCTATTGTTCTCTTCTTAATTATTATTATCTAAAATAGAGGTAGTGTTGCCCAAATTTTCTTTTGAACCTACATATTTTTTTGTTGTCTTAATTTCTGCTTAAAAGTTCAGTTAGTTCGGTTAGAACCGGAACCGAATCGAAAGCCCAAATGCTCGGTTCCTAGAATTTCTCAGAACCGATCGGTACCTATTTTCTATGAACCAAATTTCTTCAAATACCGAAGAACCGAACCAAAAATCGAATGCCCACCCCTAACGATGGGTGGTATGACTGAAGATGGCATCGCTTCGCTTGAGAATGCCTATGGAGGAGATGTCAAGGTTGTGGAGACCTGATGCCCTAGCTACCGCTACGTTGGATTTTCTTTTCTATTCGATTAGCCCATGAGGCTTGTATCAAATTCGCATTTCCATATTATTTTAGGATGTAACAAGTTATTATACATTGTTTATCGATATATGGATGTGATACTATGTTGAGATGAGCTCTATACAAGATAGCTGTTAATTCTGGGACTACCACAATGGTACAGAGAGTTGGGTTCTTGGTAAGAGAACCCGATTCATTTTAGTGCATGCGTCTATCCGAGAACTGGTTTTCTTGGGACTTGGGATGTGAAGTCCCTATAATTTGGTTGCCAACACATTGTTAACATATATTTTTGACTACTTGGTACCGAAGTTGTAGAGCTCGTTGAAATATATAACTTTTGTAGTTGATGACTTTTTCCATTGAGGTTGCTTAGAGTATACCAAATAAATACGCAATTCAAAGTTCAGAGGTGAATACAAAAGAATAATATCCCTTATCTAGTGAAGAAGTGACATGTGTGATGGTAAGAAGGCTATGCATTGAGCAAGAGGCCTTAGGTTCGGATCCTAGGAAATGCATGAGTGCGTCGGGTGTAGATGCCTCCTAAAAATGGCTCTTTATTCTGCCATCAAGGGGCACCAAAGCATTTGGATATATTCCTAGCCCGAGTGTAAGGAGGCTAAATGTACTATTCAAGCATATAAAGGGAATTAAGGTTGCCAAAGAAAAGCATAAAGGATGGTGGTACAACTGTCAATTAGCTAAGAATAAATTCATTTGTGATAATCTCATGCATAAATGCCTAGGCTGCTGAGAATAAATTCATTTGTGATAGCCCAATGCATAAATGTCTAGGCCGCTGAGAATAAATTCATCTGTGATAAACCAACGCATAAAGACCAAGCTAGACCTTAATAGGACTGCCATAAGAAACCTTCTGTCGGCCACGGCATGATAATATTAAGTCCTCCTCCAATAGGGCGGCGATGTCGCCAGCGGACGTGGAGCAGAGAGAAGGCACAGACGCATGCAAGTGCTTCGGGGGAGAGGGAGGGAGGGGGGACGCATATGGAAATGTGCGAGACTGGCGCTTCACTTTGCGCTAGCACGCTGCTTTTTGCACCGTTCATGAGTAAATTATTATTTTGGCTGGCGACGTCGCTAGCTAGCTGTTGGAGGAGGCCTATATGCCTCGAACTCGGCCTCGGACAGATCACGCCGAATCCAAATATATGCCACCCGAATAAATACGATCACTGTATACAACTTTTGTGATGGCGTATTCTCTAAGCGAAAGATTCGGATGCGCCTTGGCCGGCATTTGCATAATCCAAATATATGCCATCCGTCGTCCGAATAAACATGATGGCTATATATATAGCTTCCATCTGAATTGAAAGCTGTATCATTTTGCCTTCACTTAATTTCCGTAGTAGCTTGCACATTTTTCCCTAGTAGCCTTCAGTTATGGACAGGGTGACTGTGGAATCAAGCCGTATAGAACGGTGGCAGCTCAGACCCGGCGATCATATCTACGTCTGGCGCAAAATAAGTGACCATACACGTATCTATTCCCATCATGGTAAGACCAATCGTTTTTGTTAGTCCCATGCACTTTATTAATGGAAGAAGCGCACATTTATTAGGATGCTGAGGTGAGGTTAGTTTAGTTTTGTCCTGAGTGCACGAATTCCGAGGAATGTTGGCGTTGTTTCGCTGGTCGGTTTTGGGTCTGCGACCTAGTCAAGCACCTGTTTGGTTTCTGCAGGAGCTTCTAAAATTCCTGTCACATTGAATGTTTGGACACATGCATAGAGTATTAAATATAGACTAATTACGAAACTAATTGCTCAACTTGTGACTAATTTACGAGACGAATCTTTTAAGCCTAATTAGTCCACGATTTGACAACGTGGTGCTACAGTAAACATGTGCTACTGACGGATTAATTAGGCTTAAAAAATTTGTCTCCATCTATGTAATTGGTTTTGTAATTAATCTATAAAATTTAATACTCCTTATTAGTATCTAAACATTCGATGTGACATGAATTTTAAGAGCGACTAAAAAACCAAACATCCTCTACGTTAATTAATTCTTTTTGTCTGTCTATAGTAGTATATCTGAATGGAGGGATACCGATCTTTTTAAGACTGGCTAATTATTACTTCATTTCCATTCAATTAATCAATCAATTAGGCTCTTTGGCTACATATATATATTACAGTAATTTGAGTGTACAGGAATCTACGAAAGCGACGAGAAGGTCATCCATCTGTCCTCCATACCTGGTGGTGGAAGCTGCCCCAGGTGCCGTGGAGCTGAGCGTCGAGGCGACGTCGTCGTCTGCTGCCTTGACTGCTTCCTGCGAGGGGGTGAACTTTGCCTCTTCGCCTACGCTGTGCCCAAGTGGTTCTATGACGAGCGCAATACTCCTAAAAAGGGAGACGTTCTTGCGCCTCTTCGGCAGCTCACCTGCTCCATGGATGCTGAAGACCCCCCCGAGACGGTCTTGGGCCGCGCCAAAGACCTGCTCACCAAGGGCCGCGTCTACCTCCTTGTGCACAATAACTGCTTCCACTTTGCCTTTTACTGCAAGACAGGACGCCAATATTTTGGTCCAGTCGCTTTGGTAGTGGACACTTCGGCGGCTGCTATTATGGGGCAGAAACGTGTTGGCGTGCCATCAGACGATGGGCCACACTTGGACCGCCGAAACGGCACGGCCAGAGTCGTACCTCCACCTCCAGCTCCAGCTCGACGGCGCAGGTCACGCGAATGGTCACTTCCACAGCCAAGCTTCAGGACAATAGCGGCGCTAGGGGCGGGGCTGGCGCTCGTCGCCGTACTGCCGGAATTGGCCCCTGTTGTGCCGGAATTGGCCCCTTTTGCCATATTATAATAATCTCACTGGGCTGCTGAGCCCCCGATTTCTCCGCGAGATTTCTTGGGGGCGCCCCTCAAGGACAAGTACAATCTTAAAGCCACAACAGGGAACTAGCTTGGTCCATGTGTACGTGCCATATCATATACTCCTACATAGACAATAAAACAGACACCTTTATCACATATACGTAGATAATAAAACAGGCACCTTATATAGTGGGTTGTTTAATAGTACGTGTTTGGTTGTCTGTAACCTGTTTAATGTATACATGCATGTATGCATGCATGCATCTATGATGAAGTATATAAATAAAGATCGTTGTATGCTACTACTATTTTGCTGCAAACTCAAAGGAACATGACGGCACATACATCAACTCACGATAATATGATAAACACTCAGCTTCGTACATAACCGTAACCGAAAATGCTCGACTCAATTTTGCATAAATAAATAGACCATGGTCTGTACCCTATCCTTATCGTGGTCTGAACAAGCAAACACACGAGGTTGGTTTCGGGCTGGTTTAGGCTTGGCGGGTGTTGGTTTATTGTGAGAGAAAAACACATTTATTTGGTGGTTTGGGCTGGTTGAAACCAACAAACGAAACAACAGTGATGAATGGCACAATCCTATTATATATTTTATTTATTTCTAATTCAGCGACCGACGAATTCAACTCATTTCATCCGGTTCCCTTGATTGTTTCGTGACTTATAAGCCGCCCGATTACTGCTTTGTTGTGAAAGAAAAACATCATATCGTAGCTGATACCAAAGGGCGGATCTAGAAAATATTTCGGGGCTGAACAACACTATCGCCGATCTTAAGTCTCAGCCCTCCTACACTATAGAACTTTGCCTAAAAATTCATAGGGGTTCAACAGGAGGTTCCACCGCTCCAAAGATGGGTAGGAGGGCTTGCCCCCGCCCTACCGTTGTGTTCGCCCTCGATACGATCGAGCGAACAGGGTAATCCTCCACGTGGATAAGGCTCTAGACAAGCAGTACAGTGTACACAGGATAACAATGACACGGTGTGCACAGCCACCTTAATAAATAAATAAATAAGTTATCACACCAAAAGAAACCCTCTCCCATCCCGCCTCGGTCCGCCGCTACTGCCGGCCATGAGCACATGCAAGTCGCGCAGGCCATCAGCCATCGCCGCGCTGCTCCGTCCTACACGCATGGCGCCACTGCGCCGACGACGACGTGCTAGCGCGCTCCGGCCGCCGCCCAAGGCCCTCCTGCTCGGCACCAGGACAGACACGCACCGCCGCGCCGTCCCTCTGCTTCCTACGCTCCGCTCTTTCTCTTTCTCTGCTGCGTGCCAGGCGAGAACGAAGCCTCGCCGGTCGAACGCCGTCCGCCCAAGCCCAAGTGCTGAACGCCTGTAATGACATAATCACGATCATATACAAGATTTTTATATAAAAATAGCTGTAATGACATATACACCTGTCACGTACTCACGTTACAAGACTTCTATATAAAAATAACTATAATGATAGGGTTCCATACTCTTTTTTTTGACAAATTTGTCACATACAAAATGTTATAGTTACGTGCATGCTTTTTTCTAGTTGTTCACGTTCGGCTTTGTTCACATTAAGAAAATTTTAAAAAAGAAGTCACCTTTTGTTCTTTCTCTGTTAGGTAAGTAGGTAAGTGTGAGTGGTGTGGTCTTTTCGGTCTAGCTTCCGCATACTCTGTTAGGTAAGCTGGCCTTGTTTTTTTTTGTTTTTTGTTGTGTTGTATTACGTTGTTACTTGCTGGGGGGTTGTTGCCCCACAGTTTTATTAAAAAAATGATTTACCATATCTAATAGACCACGCATACATCAATTAGATCTGGAAAAAAGATTTTTATATCTAAAACTTTCCTTATTTATTCTATTTTATAAAATTAAAAATTAAATAAATATACATCTGATCTATTACCTCCTAGAAAGTAATAGATAATGCCAACCATCCAATCTAATTAAATGAGTGGCTCATGGCCATTTGAATGTACCGTGGGCCGGAGGGGGTTAGAGTGCTTTGGTGGGCTATTCCTGTGGCAGGATTTAGCAATGGTGGGGCTAGGGGCTTCAGCCCCCTACCCATCCTGAGCACGTGGAGTTTTTCTAAGCCCTCTCTTAAAATTTTATGCATATATGTATTAGGTAGGAGGGGCTAAGGTTAAGAGAAGATAAAAAAACCTCTATTCTTTTGTTCAGCCCCTCCTAAATTTTTTTCTGGCTTCGTCACTGCCTGTGGGCTAAACTGAAGAGCTGTAGTGGACATGTTTTGGGCTTGCCCCGGGCTGCAGCCCCCCAGCCCGGGGCCCAGATCCGTCCATGGTTACTTACTCTGTTGCTGAACTTGGTTTCATCCATCATATCTCGTGCCTACTGTTATTCTCATCAGTTGATATTGTTGAGATACGAATTTTTTCACTACTGTCTCCGTGCTCGTTGTTAGAGACGACGTCTTTTGGATTATTTTTTTGTTTGTTTGAAATAAAACATGGCGATGAATGTGTGTGTAATGTGTTCCGATCTACATGCTACTCTCTCATCGTCTTGCACATGGTGACACCTTTGCAGCGAGCCGATGCATGTGAGCACGGAGGAGATGATCATCACTAGTGCTTTCTTTTGTAAAGAGAATGAAGATGAGGAGGATTGTATTATTGTTTCTTGTTTGTAAATCTAAAGCCGATTCGTTTAACTATATATACAGCATATATAGGCAACAAACTCTTTTGAAGACCACTTGAAGCACCCATTCTCCATTCAGTTGTGTTGATTGATTGATGTCTGCAAATTCAAACGTGTATGCTTGAATTAGTTGTGTTGATTGGTGTTGTCTGCGAATTCAAACATACATGCTTGAATCATTTGGGCTTTGTCGGTGGGCCGATGGCCTTAGGCACTCCACAATGTTGTCTCCGAATGAAGCTAGAAAGGGAGAGAGAGAGAGAGAATTTAAGCATCACCTTTCTAGTCAAGAAGTGATGCATGCGTATGTGTGGGTCTGGGGCGGACGAAGGGCCGGTGCTCTAGTAGAATCTCTAAGAGAAATATAAGCCTAAAATTTAATCCTATATAAGAGAAAAATGAGTCTAAAACTTACAATTCAATCCATTTTTTTAAATAATTCCAACATCTTTTGTCTAGTTCAACTCTCATTATCTAGCTTGTCTGGCTCCGCCACTGTGTGTGGTTGTAACAAGGCAATGCATGGAGCAAGAGGCCTTAGGTTCGGCCGGATCCTAGAAAATGCATGAGTGCGTTGTGTGTAGATGCCTCCTAAAAATGGTTCTTTATTCCAACATCAGGGGTTAACAAAGCATTTGCATATATTCTTGGCTCGACTGCAGCCACAAGCAAGCTAACCTGTTTGGTTGAAACAACCAACAAACCTAACCCTCTCTATCTTCCTTGAAACAGCTATGAAACATCTCTCTATTTTCACCCATCTGGAAAGACAAAGAGCGGAAAGCAGAGTCCAATGTATTGCGAAAATTGTAACATGCAAAAGTAGCTGCTTCTGAAGAAGCAGCTTCAGGTTCTACCCGTTTGGTTGGTGTTCGCTTTTTGGTAGTAAGCACTTTTCAAAAGCTGAACCAAACACAACCCAAATGTACTACTAAGCTTATAAAGGAATTACGGCTGCCAAAAAAGGCATAAAAAACGACAACATATACCACCAATTGATTAAGAATAAATTCACTTATGATAACCCAATACATAAAGGCTCAGGGCCGTTAAGAATAAATTCATTTATAATAACCCAATGCATAAAAACCAAGGTAAAGGTTTTCATAGGACTACCATAAGAAACCTCTTGCCAGCCATGTCCGCACATGATAAGGTTATTGGGCCTCTCCAATAGGGTGGCGATGTCGCGGCAGACGGAGGAGAGAGCGCGCACAGCACAAGCATGCCGGGATACGTGTGGAGAGAGGGTGTCCGCGTGTGAGACTAGTGCTTCGCTTCACGTTACGCTGGCGCTGTTTATTTGCATTGTTCATTCATCAAGTAAAATATTATTTTGGCTGGCGATGTAAGCTACTTGTTGAAGGGAGTCTAGAACTCAATGAAATGTACTCTATCCATTAAAATAGTATAAACCTCATTGTTTAGAGGTTTTATAGAAAATGGTATCAACATTTTATATCTAAATAGATTTATTATAAAAATATATATTTTATGATTAGTCTAATGATGTTTTATTACATATCATAGACATTAGTATTTTTATATAAGTGATCAAATTTAAGATTAATTAACTCATCGAAAAGTGAGATTTACATTGTTTCGGACGGAAAAGAGTACTTGGACAGATCATGCAGAATTCAACTTTCATAATGACGTATTCTCTAAGTGAAAGATTCTGATGCGCCCTGGTGGGGCATTTGCAGAGTGGAATATATATGACATCCGTCGTCATCTGAATACATATGATCATCATATATGTAACCCCATCCAAATTGAAAGTTATATCATTTTTTCATTCAGTAAATTTCTCTACTAGGAGGAGCTTGCACATTTTTGTTATATATGGACAGGGGTTGGCAGTGTTGTCAAGCCAGATAGAAACGTGGCAGCTTAGACTCGGCGATCACGCCTACATCTGGCGCAAACACGCTGCCTATACCTACACCTATCATAGTAAGGGATGTTTAGTTCGAGCTACTAAACTTTAGTAGCTACTAAACGGTTTAGTCACTTTTAGTAACTCCAGAGTTACTAGAGATGACTAAAGCCCTTTTAGTAGCTTTTAGTTATAGCGTTTGGTTAAAAAGTTACTAAAGTGACTAAAAGCTACTAAATTTAGTAGCTACTTGGCGAACCAAATGAGACCCTAAGACCAGTCGTTTTATTAGTCCTACTATGCACCTTAATAATAGGTTCATTAGTCCTAAGCGTATATATATTTATATTAGAGTTAAATGCATGCGAGGTTTCGATTAGGTCTATCAACTCTAAAAGTTGATTTCGGGGTCCATAAACTTTTTAAGTGGTTCACCGCAGATCCGCACCCTTCGCTTGGTCCTTAGATTCAACTTTCGAGTCAATAAACCGTAGGTCCATACCCCTTCGCTTTGACCCTTTGATCTAACATGATATGTGGAGTCAACCATCAGCATAGCATGAAATTTCCCAAACCCATGCTTATCCCCTTCAGCGCTGCCCTCCTTTCCAATCCTCAAGCCTCGACATATGTGCCTCTTTGCTTTATCTCTACTCCAGTGTTTCGACAACACCATTACCAGATCCTTCGAGCTCCCACTACTGGCTCGATGTTCCTCGCTTTGTGCTTCAGCTCTGTCCTAGAAATGAGCGCTACTGAGTCCGTCTCTGCCTCCTCTACCCTTTTGTGCTCGTCACACAGAAACCCTGTCGGAGCTCCTAGCCCATCCTACTGCAGCTACCATGGTCGAGCTTTGAGCTTGCGTGCACCGCCATTCTTGTCGGTGTAGGCCATCACTGTTTCAACGAATGCGCGGTTGAGTCCGTCGCGGTCCCCTCGTCCCCGCGCACATGCATAAAGGGAATTAAGGCTGCCAAAGAAAAGCATAAAGGAATGGCAACACAACCGTCAATTAGTAAGAATAAATTCATTTGTGATAACCCAATGCATAAATGCCTAGGCCGCTGAGAATAAATTCGTTTATGATAACCCAATGCATAAAGGCCTAGATCGCTAAGAATAAATTCACCGTGATAATCCAATGCATAAAGATCAAGCTAGACCTTAATAGGGCTGCCATAAGAAACCTCTTGCCGGCCGTGGCCAACACATGATAACATTAAGGCCTCCTCCAGTAGGGTGGCAACATCGTCAGCGGGCGTGGAAAAGAGAGAAGGCATAGACACAGGCAGGTGGTTCAGGAAATGTGTGGAGAGAGGGGGTGTGTGGAAACATGCAAGACTAGCGCTTCACTTCGCGCTAGCGCGCTGCTTTTTGTACTACTCACGAGTAAAATATTATTACAGCTGGCGACGTCGTTAACCGTCGGAGGAGGCCTATGTCTCAAACTCAGCCTCGGACAGATCATGCCAAATCCAAATATATGCGATCACTCGAGTATATACAACTTTCATGATGGCGTATTCTCTAAGTGAAAGATTCGGTTGGGCTTTGGTCGGCATTTTCATAATCCAATATATGCCATCCGTCATCTGAATAAATATGATCACCATATATATATAACTTCCATCCAAATTGAAAATTGTATCATTTTGACTTCAGTTACTTTCTCTAGTAGCTTGCACATTTTTTCTTATGGTGACATGGATTTGTCCCATATCCTTGGGGACAAATCTTAGGTTTGCAGGGTCAGACTCGGAACATGAGTTCAACCACGATGGGTAGGGGTGGGCATAATTAACTGAAACCGAAGAACCGAACGGAAAGAACCAGAACCAAAACCGAAAGAACCAGAATCGAAAAAATTCGGTTCCAAATATCAAGGAACCGAAATAACCGAAGAAAGTTCGGTTCCTACTTTCAGATAACCGAAACAACTGAAATACATGAATTGTGCTTTGCTAACATGCATTTTGTACGATTATGTTTGGTTTATGTGTGATGTCTCATATTTAAACTAATGTATTTGTGTTACTATATTGCTATTGTTCTCTTATCAATTATTATTATCTAAAATAGAGGTAGCGTTGCCCAAATTTTCTTTAGAACTTGCATATTTTTTTGTTCTCTTAACCTCTGCTTAAAAGTTGGGTTAGAACCGGAACCAAACCGAAATAACCGAAAGTCAAAATGCTCGGTTCCTAGAATTTCTCAGAACCGATCGGTTCCTATTTTCTAGGAACTGAATTTCTTCAAAAACCGAGGAACCGAACCAAAAACTGAATGCCCACCCCTGATGTTGGGTGGTATGACCGAAGGTGGCATTGCTTCGCTTGGGAACGCATATGGAGGAGATGTCAAGGTCATGGAAGAGACCCGATGCCCTAGCTACCGCTACGTAGGATTTTCTTTTCTATTCGATTAGTCCATGAGGCTTGTATCAAATTCGTATTTCCATATTATTTTAGTATGTAGCAAGTTATTGTACATTGTTTATCCATATATCGGCCCTGTTCACTTCTCTTATAATCTATCTTTTTCAGCTTGTTTTTTCAGCCGGAACAGTGTTTTTCTCTCACAACAAATCAGCCAAAACAATGTTTCGACTTATTTTTTCAGCGAAGCGAACGGGGCCATGGATGTGATACTAAGCTGAAATGAGTTCTCTAGGTGATAGCTATTAATTCTGGGACTATCACAATGGAACAGAGAGTCGGGTTCTTGGTAAGAGAACCCGATTCATTTTGGTGCATGCATCCATCCGTGAAGGCCAAAGGAGAGAACTGATTTTCTCGGGACTTGGGACGTGAAGTCCCTATAATTTGGTCGCCAACACATATTTTTTACTACTTGGTACCGAAGTTGTAGAGCTCGATGAAATGTATAACTTTTGTAGTTGATGACATTTTCCATTGAGGTTGCTTAGAGTATACCAAATAAATACGCAATTCAAAGTTCAGAGGTGAATACAAAAGAATAATATCCCTTATTTAGTGAAGAAGTAATGTGTATGTGTGATGGTAAGAAGGCTATGCATGGAACAAGAGGCCTTAGGTTCAGATCCTAGGAAATGCATGAGTGCGTCGGGTGTAGATGCCTCCTAAAAATGGCTCTTTATTCTGCCATCAAGGGGCACCAAAGCATTTGGATATATTCCTAGCCCGAGTGTAAGGAGGCTAAATGTACTATTCAAGCATATAAAGGGAATTAAGGTTGCCAAAGAAAAGCATAAAGGATGGTGGTACAACTGTCAATTAGCTAAGAATAAATTCATTTGTGATAATCTCATGCATAAATGCCTAGGCTGCTGAGAATAAATTCATTTGTGATAGCCCAATGCATAAATGTCTAGGCCGCTGAGAATAAATTCATCTGTGATAAACCAACGCATAAAGACCAAGCTAGACCTTAATAGGACTGCCATAAGAAACCTTCTGTCGGCCACGGCATGATAATATTAAGTCCTCCTCCAATAGGGCGGCGATGTCGCCAGCGGACGTGGAGCAGAGAGAAGGCACAGACGCATGCAAGTGCTTCGGGGGAGAGGGAGGGAGGGGGGACGCATATGGAAATGTGCGAGACTGGCGCTTCACTTTGCGCTAGCACGCTGCTTTTTGCACCGTTCATGAGTAAATTATTATTTTGGCTGGCGGCGCGTCCGCTAGCTAGCTGTTGGAGGAGGCCTATATGCCTCGAACTCGGCCTCGGACAGATCACGCCGAATCCAAATATATGCCACCCGAATAAATACGATCACTGTATACAACTTTTGTGATGGCGTATTCTCTAAGCGAAAGATTCGGATGCGCCTTGGCCGGCATTTGCATAATCCAAATATATGCCATCCGTCGTCCGAATAAACATGATGGCTATATATATAGCTTCCATCTGAATTGAAAGCTGTATCATTTTGCCTTCACTTAATTTCCGTAGTAGCTTGCACATTTTTCCCTAGTAGCCTTCAGTTATGGACAGGGTGACTGTGGAATCAAGCCGTATAGAACGGTGGCAGCTCAGACCCGGCGATCATATCTACGTCTGGCGCAAAATAAGTGACCATACACGTATCTATTCCCATCATGGTAAGACCAATCGTTTTTGTTAGTCCCATGCACTTTATTAATGGAAGAAGCGCACATTTATTAGGATGCTGAGGTGAGGTTAGTTTAGTTTTGTCCTGAGTGCACGAATTCCGAGGAATGTTGGCGTTGTTTCGCTGGTCGGTTTTGGGTCTGCGACCTAGTCAAGCACCTGTTTGGTTTCTGCAGGAGCTTCTAAAATTCCTGTCACATTGAATGTTTGGTCACATGCATAGAGTATTAAATATAGACTAATTACGAAACTAATTGCTCAACTTGTGACTAATTTACGAGACGAATCTTTTAAGCCTAATTAGTCCACGATTTGACAACGTGGTGCTACAGTAAACATGTGCTACTGACGGATTAATTAGGCTTAAAAAATTTGTCTCCATCTATGTAATTGGTTTTGTAATTAATCTATAAAATTTAATACTCCTTATTAGTATCTAAACATTCGATGTGACATGAATTTTAAGAGCGACTAAAAAACCAAACATCCTCTACGTTAATTAATTCTTTTTGTCTGTCTATAGTAGTATATCTGAATGGAGGGATACCGATCTTTTTAAGACTGGCTAATTATTACTTCATTTCCATTCAATTAATCAATCAATTAGGCTCTTTGGCTACATATATATATTACAGTAATTTGAGTGTACAGGAATCTACGAAAGCGACGAGAAGGTCATCCATCTGTCCTCCATACCTGGTGGTGGAAGCTGCCCCAGGTGCCGTGGAGCTGAGCGTCGAGGCGACGTCGTCGTCTGCTGCCTTGACTGCTTCCTGCGAGGGGGTGAACTTTGCCTCTTCGCCTACGCTGTGCCCAAGTGGTTCTATGACGAGCGCAATACTCCTAAAAAGGGAGACGTTCTTGCGCCTCTTCGGCAGCTCACCTGCTCCATGGATGCTGAAGACCCCCCCGAGACGGTCTTGGGCCGCGCCAAAGACCTGCTCACCAAGGGCCGCGTCTACCTCCTTGTGCACAATAACTGCTTCCACTTTGCCTTTTACTGCAAGACAGGACGCCAATATTTTGGTCCAGTCGCTTTGGTAGTGGACACTTCGGCGGCTGCTATTATGGGGCAGAAACGTGTTGGCGTGCCATCAGACGATGGGCCACACTTGGACCGCCGAAACGGCACGGCCAGAGTCGTACCTCCACCTCCAGCTCCAGCTCGACGGCGCAGGTCACGCGAATGGTCACTTCCACAGCCAAGCTTCAGGACAATAGCGGCGCTAGGGGCGGGGCTGGCGCTCGTCGCCGTACTGCCGGAATTGGCCCCTGTTGTGCCGGAATTGGCCCCTTTTGCCATATTATAATAATCTCACTGGGCTGCTGAGCCCCCGATTTCTCCGCGAGATTTCTTGGGGGCGCCCCTCAAGGACAAGTACAATCTTAAAGCCACAACAGGGAACTAGCTTGGTCCATGTGTACGTGCCATATCATATACTCCTACATAGACAATAAAACAGACACCTTTATCACATATACGTAGATAATAAAACAGGCACCTTATATAGTGGGTTGTTTAATAGTACGTGTTTGGTTGTCTGTAACCCGTTTAATGTATACATGCATGTATGCATGCATGCATCTATGATGAAGTATATAAATAAAGATCGTTGTATGCTACTACTATTTTGCTGCAAACTCAAAGGAACATGACGGCACATACATCAACTCACGATAATATGATAAACACTCAGCTTCGTACATAACCGTAACCGAAAATGCTCGACTCAATTTTGCATAAATAAATAGACCATGGTCTGTACCCTATCCTTATCGTGGTCTGAACAAGCAAACACACAGGTTGGTTTCTGGGCTGGTTTAGGCTGGCGGGTGTTGGTTTGTTGTGAGAGAAAAACACTGTTGGCTGGCTGGTTTGGGCTGGCTGAAACCAACAAGCGAACAGGCTGACAGAATGGCACAATCCTATTATATATTTTATTTATTTCTAATTCAGCGACCGACGAATTCAACTCATTTCATCCGGTTCCCTTGATTGTTTCTGTGACTTATAAGCCGTCTGATTCTGTTTTGTTGTGAAAGAAAAACACTGTATCGTAGCTGATACCAGCGGCGGATCTAGAAAATATTTCAGGGGGCTGAACAACACTACTGCTCGATCTTAAGTCTCAGCCCTCCTACACTATAGAACTTTGCCTAAAAATTCATAGGGGTTCAACAGGAGGTTCCACTGCTCCAGCATGGGTAGGAGGGGCTTGCCCCCCGCCCTACCGTTGTGTTCGCCCCTGCCTGATACGATCGAGCGAACAGGGTAAACCTCCACGTGGATAAGGCTCTAGAGAAGCAGTACAGTGTACACAGGATAACAATGACACGGTGTGCACAGCCACCTTAATAAATAAATAAATAAGTTATCACACCAAAAGAAACCCTCTCCCATCCCGCCTCGGTCCGCCGCTACTGCCGGCCATGAGCACATGCAAGTCGCGCAGGCCATCAGCCATCGCCGCGCTGCTCCGTCCTACACGCATGGCGCCACTGCGCCGACGACGACGTGCTAGCGCGCTCCGGCCGCCGCCCAAGGCCCTCCTGCTCGGCACCAGGACAGACACGCACCGCCGCGCCGTCCCTCTGCTTCCTACGCTCCGCTCTTTCTCTTTCTCTGCTGCGTGCCAGGCGAGAACGAAGCCTCGCCGGTCGAACGCCGTCCGCCCAAGCCCAAGTGCTGAACGCCTGTAATGACATAATCACGATCATATACAAGATTTTTATATAAAAATAGCTGTAATGACATATACACCTGTCACGTACTCACGTTACAAGACTTCTATATAAAAATAACTATAATGATAGGGTTCCATACTCTTTTTTTTGACAAATTTGTCACATACAAAATGTTATAGTTACGTGCATGCTTTTTTCTAGTTGTTCACGTTCGGCTTTGTTCACATTAAGAAAATTTTAAAAAAGAAGTCACCTTTTGTTCTTTCTCTGTTAGGTAAGTAGGTAAGTGTGAGTGGTGTGGTCTTTTCGGTCTAGCTTCCGCATACTCTGTTAGGTAAGCTGGCCTTGTTTTTTTTTTTTTTGTTGTGTTGTATTACGTTGTTACTTGCTGGGGGGTTGTTGCCCCACAGTTTTATTAAAAAAATGATTTACCATATCTAATAGACCACGCATACATCAATTAGATCTGGAAAAAAGATTTTTATATCTAAAACTTTCCTTATTTATTCTATTTTATAAAATTAAAAATTAAATAAATATACATCTGATCTATTACCTCCTAGAAAGTAATAGATAATGCCAACCATCCAATCTAATTAAATGAGTGGCTCATGGCCATTTGAATGTACCGTAGGCCCGGAGTGGGGTTAGAGTGCTTTGGTGGGCTATTCCTGTGGGCAGGGACGTAGCCAGCGGTGGGGCTAGGGGGGCTTCAGCCCCCCCTACCCATCCTGAGCACCTGGAGTTTTCCTAAGCCCTCTCTTAAAATTTTATGCATATATGTATTAGGTAGGAGGGGCTAAGGTTAAGAGAAGATAAAAAAACCTCTATTCTTTTGTTCAGCCCCTCCTAAATTTTTTTTTTTCGGCTTTGTCACTGCCTGTGGGCTAAACTGAAGAGCTGTAGTGGACATGTTTTGGGCTTGCCCGGGCTGCAGCCCCCAGCCCGGGCCCAGATCCGTCCATGGTTACTTACTCTGTTGCTGAACTTGGTTTCATCCATCATATCTCGTGCCTACTGTTATTCTCATCAGTTGATATTGTTGAGATACGAATTTTTTCACTACTGTCTCCGTGCTCGTTGTTAGAGACGACGTCTTTTGGATTATTTTTTGTTTGTTTGAAATAAAACATGGCGATGAATGTGTGTGTAATGTGTTCCGATCTACATGCTACTCTCTCATCGTCTTGCACATGGTGACACCTTGCAGCGAGCCGATGCATGTGAGCACGGAGGAGATGATCATCACTAGTGCTTTCTTTTGTAAAGAGAATGAAGATGAGGAGGATTGTATTATTGTTTCTTGTTTGTAAATCTAAAGCCGATTCGTTTAACTATATATACAGCATATATAGGCAACAAACTCTTTTGAAGACCACTTGAAGCACCCATTCTCCATTCAGTTGTGTTGATTGATTGATGTCTGCAAATTCAAACGTGTATGCTTGAATTAGTTGTGTTGATTGGTGTTGTCTGCGAATTCAAACATACATGCTTGAATCATTTGGGCTTTGTCGGTGGGCCGATGGCCTTAGGCACTCCACAATGTTGTCTCCGAATGAAGCTAGAAAGGGAGAGAGAGAGAGAATTTAAGCATCACCTTTCTAGTCAAGAAGTGATGCATGCGTATGTGTGGGTCTGGGGCGGAGGAAGGGCCGGTGCTCTAGTAGAATCTCTAAGAGAAATATAAGCCTAAAATTTAATCCTATATAAGAGAAAAATGAGTCTAAAACTTACAATTCAATCCATTTTTTTAAATAATTCCAACATCTTTTGTCTAGTTCAACTCTCATTATCTAGCTTGTCTGGCTCCGCCACTGTGTGTGGTTGTAACAAGGCAATGCATGGAGCAAGAGGCCTTAGGTTCGGCCGGATCCTAGAAAATGCATGAGTGCGTTGTGTGTAGATGCCTCCTAAAAATGGTTCTTTATTCCAACATCAGGGGTTAACAAAGCATTTGCATATATTCTTGGCTCGACTGCAGCCACAAGCAAGCTAACCTGTTTGGTTGAAACAACCAACAAACCTAACCCTCTCTATCTTCCTTGAAACAGCTATGAAACATCTCTCTATTTTCACCCATCTGGAAAGACAAAGAGCGGAAAGCAGAGTCCAATGTATTGCGAAAATTGTAACATGCAAAAGTAGCTGCTTCTGAAGAAGCAGCTTCAGGTTCTACCCGTTTGGTTGGTGTTCTGCTTTTTGGTAGCAGAAGCACTTTTCAAAAGCTGAACCAAACACAACCCAAATGTACTACTAAGCTTATAAAGGGAATTACGGCTGCCAAAAAAAGGCATAAAAAACGACAACATATACCACCAATTGATTAAGAATAAATTCACTTATGATAACCCAATACATAAAGGCTCAGGCCGTTAAGAATAAATTCATTTATAATAACCCAATGCATAAAAAACCAAGGTAAAGGTTTTCATAGGACTACCATAAGAAACCTCTTGCCAGCCATGTCCGGCACATGATAAGGTTATTGGGCCTCTCCAATAGGGTGGCGATGTCGCCGGCAGACGGGAGGAGAGAGCGCAGCACAGGCACAAGCAGTACTTCGGGATACGTGTGGAGAGAGGGTGTCCGAAAACGTGTGAGACTAGTGCTTCGCTTCACGTTACGCGCTGTTTATTTGCATTGTTCATTCATCAAGTAAAATATTATTTTGGCTGGCGATGTCGCTACTTGTTGAAGGGAGTCTAGAACTCAGTGAAATGTACTCTATCCATTAAAATAGTATAAACCTCATTGTTTAGAGGTTTTATAGAAAATGGTATCAACATTTTTATATCTAAATAGATTTATTATAAAAATATATATTTTATGATTAGTCTAATGATGTTTTATTACATATCATAGACATTAGTATTTTTATATAAGTGATCAAATTTAAGATTAATTAACTCATCGAAAAGTGAGATTTACATTGTTTCTGGACGGAAAGAGTACTTGGACAGATCATGCAGAATTCAACTTTCATAATGACGTATTCTCTAAGTGAAAGATTCTGATGCGCCCCTGGTGGGCATTTGCAGAGTGGAATATATATGACATCCGTACGTCATCTGAATACATATGATCATCATATATGTAACCCCATCCAAATTGAAAGTTATATCATTTTTTCATTCAGTAAATTTCTCTACTAGGAGGAGCTTGCACATTTTTTGTTATATATGGACAGGGGGTTGGCAGTGTTGTCAAGCCGTATAGAACGGTGGCAGCTTAGACTCGGCGATCACGTCTACATCTGGCGCAAACACGCTGCCTATACCTACACCTATCATAGTAAGGGGATGTTTAGTTCGAGCTACTAAACTTTAGTAGCTACTAAACGGTTTAGTCACTTTTAGTAACTCCAGAGTTACTAGAGATGACTAAAGCCCTTTTAGTAGCTTTTAGTTATAGCGTTTGGTTAAAAAGTTACTAAAGTGACTAAAAGCTACTAAATTTAGTAGCTACTTGGCGAACCAAACAGACCCTAAGACCAGTCGTTTTTATTAGTCCTACTATGCACCTTAATAATAGGTTCATTAGTCCTAAGCGTACATATATTTATATTAGAGTTAAATGCATGCGAGGTTTCGATTAGGTCTATCAACTCTAAAAGTTGATTTCG